TTCCTTCCTTCCTTCCTTCCTTCCTTCCTTCCTTCCTTCCTTCCTTCCTTCCTTCCTCTTTGCATTCTTTCTCTCCCTCCCTCTTTCTCCCTTCCTTCCTTCCTCCCCATCTCTGATTTCTTTTCCTCCCTCTTTGATCTTCCCTCCCTTCCTTCCTCTTTCTTTCTCTCTGTCTGTCTTTCTTTCTAGAGTGCGTTGTATTTGTTCTACAACGTGCTTTCCTACTAGTCACTAATAAAGCTAAGCTAATCACTAAGCTTGGGGTTAGACCATCCATGGAGCCCAGTATTTAACAGGCTGTATGTCCCTGAAGCAGGTGTTCTTTCTGGGCAGAAGTATAGGGTCCCAGCTCACGGGCTCAGCAGAGGCAGGGGTATCCCCAAAGTAGCCAATACGCTTGAAGTAAAGTTACCATCTAAAGCAGGAGTCCCCAACATTTTTGATCCTGTGGGCACCTTTGGAATTCTGGCACACCATGGCGGGCAGAGCCACAAAATGGATGCTGCAGGAGTAGAGTTGACAGGTCCTCCCGTCACTCTGGTGGAGGGATTTGGGGATGTTCCAGGGGTGGGCGGGGATGCCCCCAAGCCCTGCCCCCAAGAGCGGCCACCCAGCCAGGTACCCCTCTCCCTCCTTTCCTGCCCAATTTAAAGGGCTACAGCTGTGGGGATGGTGGAAATCAGTCCCACGTGCCACGGTCCCCACCCCGCTCGCAAAAAGACCCTTTAAAGGTTCTTTTCACGAGCCGAGTGTCTGGCCCGTGACTGCCCTTCTCCCTCCTACTAGATTTAAAGGGCCCTCCAGCTGATCGGTGGGCCACGTGGTCCCCGCCGATCAGCTGAAGCCCTTTAAATCAGGCATGAGGGGAGGGAAAGGGGTGGCTGGGCGGGTGGTCGCTCTTGGGGGCGGGGCATCCCCCATCAGCCAGCTGGCTGATTGAAGCCCTCAGAAGTGGCGAAACCCCCGCCCGGACCTGAGGGCTGGCAACCCCTCTGCAGGAGGTTAAGCCAGCTACAAAACGGTTGCCCCAGCCTACCTTCAGTCCTGCAGTGAAGATCCTTGTGCTGTGGTGGCAGCTGCTGCCGAAGCAGCGTTTGAAAAAATCTGCACAACCAATAAAATCTCCAGTGGCCAATCAGAATCCTTGCTGGGCAAAAACCTCACCTGCCCCTGCCTGCTTTTTAAAAACCATTGGCAGGCACCAGAAAAGGTGTTGGAGGGCACCACGGCTCCCACAGGTACCAAGTTGTGGGCCCTTGATCTAAAGGAAGGGCTCCATCAGTCCATTATATCCAGAGTCTCTAACTCACGGGTGCCGAACTGATTAGTTATGAGGGCCGTATCTGACACAAATTAGACCCTGTCGGGCCGGGCCATGTGTGTCATAAAATGTAATGCCAGGTAGCAAAGATATAAACTTTATAAAGAACACAAACACAAAGGGTTTTTTAAAACTTAAAATAAAAACATGCTTAAAACATTAGCACTCTTGCAATATTTTGTTTATTTAACAGTGTCTGATGACTGACACCTCTTGCTCTGAATTATTGCATCAAAATGTCTGTGCTGTTGCAATCTTAAATATGCTGTTCGGGTATATATCTGTAAGCTGCAAACCTACGATGACGCAGCAGCAGCAGAACTGGAAGAAGAAACAGAAGACAGCTAGTTCCATTGTGGGCCTGATAGAAGCCCTCTGGCGGCCTGATCCGCCCCCCGGGGCCGCATGTTTGACACCCCTGCTCTAACTGCTTTCCCTGAGCCACTGCCATGAAGGTAGTGAGTTACCGTAGAAAGTAAACCAGCTCGTATCCTTTGAGGAAATGACATTCAGGATAAGACATCAGTGGAAACGCGTTTTGATTTTATGGCTCTCCTTTCCGTTTTCTAGGTCTTGCTCCGGAGGCTAACAAGTTAGCAGGGGCCCTGGCGAAGATGCCAATCCTTCACGATGCAGTCTACGCCAAGGAGACAAAAATGTATCGCCGCCATGGGCTTGGAGATGAATCCTTGGTGCTTCCGTATGTATTGGAAAACTCAGCGTTTCCCACTCTTAACGCGTTTTGACTCCTTCTGTGATGCATTCTGAGATCTCAGCTTTTCACCTTGTGTCTGATGCATGCCAGTTATGCCAGATGTATGCTCCAATCTGGAGGGCGCGCATAAAGTTTCTTCCTAAAAACTGCCGAGTTCATTATAAAAAGGCTTTTAATCCTAGGAATGAGGTCTCTGTGTCCTGGGTGGTCTTTGCCACGGCGCATTTCCGCTTCCTCTAAAACAGCGGTTCTCAACCTTCCTAATGCCACGACCCTTTAATACAGTTCCTCATGTTGTGGTAACCCCCAACCATAAAATTATTTTCGTTGCTACTTCATAACTGTAATTTTGCTACTGTTATTTGGCGAGACTTGGGAGCCCTATCCTAAGACCATCGAAAATTTGTGTTTTCCGATGGTCTTAGGCGACCCCTGTGAAAGGGTCGTTCGACCCCCAAAGGGGTCACGACCCGCAGGTTGAGAACCGCTGCTCTAAAACCTCACTTTGCTCATTGAAAAGCATGGATGTTGCGCAAATGGAAGTTTTAGTGTAAGAGGAAGTGTGTTTTGTGACAGAGCGCATGGAACCCATTCATCCAAGCCCAAATTTCTAGTCCAGCGGTCCCAGCCTTTTCAGGCCTGTGGGCAACTTTGAATTCTCACACAGGGTGGTGGGTGCACCCACAAATTGGCTGCTGCCGGAGGTGGAGACAGCCACAAAATGGCTGCCAGGAGAACCGGACTCAACCACAAAATGTCGGGGAGTGAGGTTGCACATAACACAACATTAGTCATTTCAACATTTCAGGCAAAGGCTCTCTTTAACAGGATGCCTTTTAAAAATATAGCTTAACAATGTTTTCTTGCATATACACAGTAACACAGTGAAAAATCCTTATGTTGTAGTGGCGGTAACGGAACTCATTCATCCAGCTGCTGGTGTGACCTTGGGTCTGTCATGAGTTCTTTCAGAGCTGTTGTCTCAGGAGCCGTTCTCGAAAGAGCTCTCTCAGCCCCATTTACCTCACAGGGTGTCTGTTGTGGTGAGGGGAAGGGAAAGGAGATTGTAAACCGCTTGGAGACTCCTTTGGGTAGTGAAGGGTGGGGTACAAATCCAATCTCCTCCTCCTCCTCCTCCTCCTCCTCCTGCTTCTTCCTTTTAAAAATCTGCACAGCCAATTGGATCTTGAGTGGCCAACCAGAAGCCTTCATGGGCAAAAGCCTACTTTCCCCCAACCCCCTTTCTAGAAACACTGGTTGTGTGGCAGGAAAGCTGCTTGTCATTTCCATGGTGCCAGCGGGTGCCGCGTTAGGGACCCCTGTTGTAGCCCTTACGGTTGAAGAAATGGAAGTGGGATAGGTCCGCCTGCCATCTCAGAAGCCAGCGAGGTTCCCGAATGAGATTTCTAGTGGTTGGAAGACGAGGCCTTGGTGACTTGATCGACGAAACCAGAATAGATCGAGTGAAATAGCAAACGTTGGGTTGTGTTCCATAGAAAAACTTGCCTGAGGCATTGGTGCACACAGAGTTTTCCTTTTCTCCTTCCCCCAGCAATGTTAGTCCTGAGAAGCTTCTGTCAGGTTAAGCAAAAACCTCTTGAACAGAAAGCTTCACTATGTAGGGAATGGCAGCCAGGCGTGGAATCACTGGCGGAGGTGGGGTGACTTCACCTGAGTTTCCCTTCTCTCCGAAGGTCCTTGGACTGTGGCGTGGGATCCGGCCTTTTATTCCTTTCCGTACTTCATGCACATTATGGAATTCAACTTTGCGTTAGTACACGAGTTGGATCTCTTCCAGTCAGATTTTAACATTTTGTCAGAATACACCGATACGAGTACAGATGCCCTTACGTATATGGATACTTCAGTTAGTAGCAAGTCACCAGTGCTCCCTCTAAGCTGAGTCAGTGTGAGCTAGCTCACAGTTTTTCTAGCCTCTCGCTCCCACATTTCTGTCTTCGCTAATTTATGCAGTAGCCAAATTGCTCACTGACCACTTTAATGCCAGTAGCTTACAAAGCAGAATTTTTGCTCACAAGACTCCACGTCTTAGAGGGAGCATTGGTAGTGACATGTTGCTTTCTTGTTGTCGTAAAACGGACCTTGATGAACTAAGAGTCCGATTCAACATAAGGCAGCTTCATGTGTGAGTCACCAAGTTTGCCGCCGAGGAGGAGATTGGATTTATACCCCGCCCTTCACTCGGAGTCTCATAGCGGCTTACAATCTCCTTCCCCTCCCCACAACAGACACCCTGTGAGGTAGGCGGGGCTGAGAGAGCTCTTTCCAGACCCGTCCTTGAGAGAACAGCTCTGAGAGAACTTGTGACTGACCCAAGGTCACACCAGCAGCTGCAAGTGGAGGCGTGGGGAATCAAACCCGGTTCTTCCAGATCAGAGTCCGCGCACTCAACCACTACACCAAACTGGCTCTAGGAGGGAGTTCTTCCCTGATGCGGTTGGGGAAAGGAAGGCCAGGCCAGCCACTGTGCACACTACTTGTCATGGCAAGCCTCTTTTATTTAGGTGAGTGAGGCAGCCATGGCTCAGTGGTAGAGCATCTGCTTGGCATGCAGACGGTCCCAGGTTCAATTCCTCAGCATCTCCAGTTAAAAGGACTAAGCAGTACATGTTGTGAAAGACCTGCATAAGACCCTGGAGAGTCACTGAGTAGACAATACTGACCTTGTCTGAGTAGACAGTACTGACCTTGATGGACTGGCTGACCTTGATGGACTAAGGCCGCGATCGCACAACCTAAACAATCCACTTCCAATCCACTTTCGATGCACCTTCCAACTGGATTTTGCCAGTTCACTCAGTAAAATCCAGTTGGAAAGTGCACTGAAAGTGGATTATTTAGTGAGTGTGACTGCAGCCCAAAAGTCTAATTCAGTATAAGGCAGCTTCATGTGTGAACAGTTATGTTCTCGCTGTTATGTATAGCCTGCTCTTCGCCTTATCTGGAGGACAACATTAGCAGTTCTAACTGAATCCATAAATAATCAATAGAAGCTCTTATAGAAGAGCTGTTAATGTGATTCTATGTACCATTGTGACTTTGTCTGCATTTGTGATACATAAACATATTTCTGATCCGCATTTTGGTACTAATTGGGAATTGTGAGAAGAATTTGCACTTCTAATGTTTATAAAAATGTTTTATATAAACTATGGATTGAGTCACTAAATAAACGAGTTAGAAAACATATGGTATAGTTATACTTTATTCAATCAATTGCCATCAGACACAGTGTTTTTCCTATTTTTGTCCTTTAAGACACTATGACCTTTTTCTTTTTGTCATCTGGAGGACAGGAAGCAGCAGTTTCAATAATTTGCCGTCTGTATGAAAGACCTTGTCCCTGGGTGGGTACCCCCAGATCCAAGGGGGAGGTGTTGCCATGGACTGAGGTTTTGCCCCCTCTTTGTAAACCTGAATCTGCCATATTCCAAGTCAGACATTTGGGCTGCGATCACATTAAATAATCCACTTTCAATGCACTTTCCAACTAGATTTTGCCAGTTCCCATGTAAAATCCAGTTGGAAAGTGCACTGAAAGTGGATGTTTTAGTGTGTGTGACTGCAGCCTTGGTCTGTCAAGGCCAGTACTGTCTACAGCAGGGGTGCTGAACTCATTTGTTACAAGGCTGGATCTGACAGTAATGAGATCTTGTTGGGCTGGGCCATGTATGTCATAGAATTTAATGCCAGGTAGTGGAGACAAACACAGATTTTTTTTAACTTTAAATAAAAACATGATAACTGACACCTCTTGCTCTGAATTATTGCATCAAAATGTCTGCGCTGTTGCAATCTTGAGTATGCTGTTCAAGTGTGTATTTGTAAGCTGCAAATCTATTTTTGATTTATTGACATTCACTACATAAATCTCATGCTCAGAGTTCTGAGCCTAGGACCCAGGGAAAAACATGAAATTGCTGGGCATTGCAAGCTTTTGTACATAAATTGCTTTGTGTGCTGGTCAAGAACATGAGAAGGCACCATGACACAAACTGAGGGCTATGTGTTTGCCTACAAAACTATAGTCTTCCTTAGTGGTCAGTATCAGCCTACTATCTGGGACGTCTACGTTCAAAATCCCCAAAGGAAATGTGCTGGGTGAACTTGGTCTGGACACATACTCTCAGCCTAATCCACCTCATTGGCTTGTTGTTATTCCTCATCTAAATAGTTCACATTGCTTTCCTACTAAGCAAGATTGGATCATGAGGGCAGGAATACAGTGAAAAGGGGGAGGGAACCCAGCTGCACCCAGGAGAGCCACAATATAACAAACCACACACAGTATAGCAAGGCACACAAAAGCTAACACCTTGGATAAAACTTTGTTGGTCTTAAAGTTGCTTTGTATTCTCCCCTGTGATTTAGGCAATCAAGCAAAGCAAGCTGTCACTCCTTCCCTCCCTCCCTCTCTCCCTTTGGGGAGGAGCCTCAGCCAATGGAAGGGAAGAAAGGTTGGACTTTCTCTTTTGTGCGATTGAGGCACCCTGGCCAGGAAGCAATCTCTGGGTCTTTCCCTTTCTCCCCCTGGAAGGGGGAGGGGGAGGAGCCTCAGCCATTGCAGGGAACAGAAGCTTGCCTATCTATCTCTCCTGAGTGACTGAGAAAGGCTGGCAAAGCAAGCTACGATGCAGCAGCAGCAGAACTGGAAGAAGAAGCAGGAGACAGCCAGTTCCACTGCGGGCCTGATAGAAGCCTTCTGGGGGGGCCCTGATTTGGCCCGCAGACCACATGTTTGATACCCCTGGTCTACAGTGATTGGCAGCAGCTTTCTGGGGTTCTCAACAAGGGATCTTTCATATCTCCTACTACTTCATCCTTTTGGCTGGTGATGCCAGAGATTGGACTGGGACTTTTCGCATGCAAAGCAGCTGGCCTACCACCCAGTTAGGGCTCCTGCTCTCCTTTCCCCGTAACTCAAGGGTACAGTGTTCAAGGTAGCATGTTCTCTGGATCTTATTGCAAAGCTGTGGCCATACACCTTTGAGCTCTGGAGTTCCAAAGCAACACGCCTTTCTGGAAAGGCGTCTGAAGGCGCTCTGGGCTCTATTCGGTTTAGAAAAAAGGGTGCTAACAGGGTAGGATGCAGGCCTGCCGTGTTTTGTCAGTCAGTTAGAGGGGCCGTGGCTCAGCTTGGCATCCGAATGCTTCAGGTTGAGTCCCGGGCATCTCCGGCCCTTACTTTACCTGAGACCTCAGAGAACAAGTGCCAGACTCACAGCAGACAATACTGAGCTTGGTCGGCCAGTCGTCTGATGCAGATAGATCGAAAGACTTCCCATCCGTTAAAGCCATTTCCAGTAATTCAGGTTGCAGATTTGGAATGCTTTTTTTTCTAAAAAAACCTGATTTTCAGTGGGAGGTTTTATATATAAAAAATGGGAGATAGTAGTGACCGTCTGAGGGGAAAAAAGTCTTCCTTCTGGCTTGGATCCATCAGAGGATTTCCATGAGTAGAAGACTCGTGTGTGATATTTTGCCATTTCCCCTCCCCCATTGCAAACCCATGATTCCATAAGAAGAAGAGGAGGAGGGGGAGGGGGAGATTGGATGTATAACCCCACCCTTCACTCAGAGTCTCAGAGCGGTTTACAAACCCCTTTCCCTCCCCCTCCCTACAACAGACACCCTGTGAGGTAGGTGGGGCTGAGAGAGCTCTTTCAAGAACTGCCGTTTCAAGGACAGCTCTTGTCAGAACTACGGCTTGCCCAAGGTCATCCACCAGCTCCAAGTGGAGGAGTGGGGAATCAGACCCGGTTCTCCCAGATTAGCGTCCGCGTACTTAACCACATTTTGGATTGGAGGTGGGAGATGAGAAAGTTGCTCTCTGTGAGTAGAAATCCCTTTCATTCACAGAAATCGATTTGGATCCAGACTATCTTAACAGAGGGAAAAATGCCTCTTTTATGATGACAGCTACAAAGGCCTGAACTACACGTTACAATGCAGCCATATTGCAGCCGCTAGTTCCCAATGGGAGCTCCATTTAAAAGTGCTGCTGGGGCCTGATTAGTATCAGGATGGTGGGGGTGAGCTCCTGCCTGCTCCCCCCCCCTGTTATTTGCCCTGTCTCTCCCCCCCTGCACATGGTCCCTGCTCAAAATCGCCCCCCCCAGCGGCACTTGTAAGTGGAGTTTCTACGAGGAACTGGCACCTGCAATATGTTTGCAAGTTCCCATGGTAGACTTGTGTAGGCTGCAAAGTGTTCTTTGCGCATGTGCTTAATTTTCAAAGGACAAATGTTTCCCAAAAAGGAAGAAAAATGGTGTTCGATGCAATGTTTTGCAGATGTCATTGATTAAGGGTGGTCAGGGCTTCCACCTGTACGCAGGGGGCGGGGGTACATCCTGAAGTCAATGCAAAAATTACTCATCCCACAACATTTCCTCTCTCTCTCTCTGTTTTTGTGACAGCCCTTCCAGAGAAAATAAAAGAGTAATCTACACAATCATGGAACTTTCTCCGCTGCTGGATTCTGCAAATATGACACCAGCCGACTGGGGCAAGATTGCAAAGTGCCTTGAGGTATGCCAGAATTTTCCTTGCAAGGGTTATATGACATTACACATAGACATTTGTTAATTTTTTTTTCTTTTACATTACAAGCCAAACTGCTTTAGATCTTAGGGATCAGATATGTACTGGCAGACGTTTACTCTAAGTTGAGTTAGTGTGAGCTAGCTCACAGTTTTTTAGCCTCCGGCTCACACATTTTTGTCTCAGCTCAGGAAGGAGGGCTCCAGAGCAAACTAGTTTATGCAGCGGCCAAATCGCTCGCTCACAACTTGGAATTTTTTGCTCACAAGTCTCCACAGCTTAGAGGGAGCATTGGTGTACACCCTACCCCACCCCAACTTGGATGTCCAGGATGTATCGGGCTCTGCCACTCCTTATTGGATCAATTCAGGTTGTGCGGTTCACACATCTGGCTTTCTGTATCCACAGTAATGTACTGTTCCCATTCCATTCCATTCAAAAAAATGACCTTTCAAGCTGAACTCAGTTTAAGATTCATGGAATTACACATTGAAGCAGTCTGCTAAGCGCACTGCTTGAACACTGCCAGTGAAGCCAGCTTTCCCCTGTATCGGTCAGAACTTTGGTTCTGAACAGGTATAACAGGGATGAATCGATAAGCAGGATCCGATTGGGACCTAATAGCCTGCTCACAGCGTTATCCTTGGGAGGGAGAAAGGTAGGAGGTAAACAGATTCCAGAGTATTTTTTGCCTGTGCGATTCAATGTATTGGAGACCTGTACTGCCAGTTTTTAATGGCTGGCTAAAATCCATTTGACCACAAGGTGGAGATAGAAGGTAACTTTGGACGCCGGTGAGCTTTCCCCGTGACATGCTAGCGAGCTCTTGAGAAAAATATTTTAGGTGGTTGAAATGCTCTCTGAAGTTCTGTTCTTGGGAGGGGGGGGGTCCCCAGGAAGAGGATTTCGGGGCACATTGTGGGCCACAGGGGTAGAAGGGTAAGAAAATGGTGCTTTGGGGTCGGAAGTCCTTGGGCTCATCTAAAACAGCCTGGATCCAAGTCTGAATATAGTTCTGAGCCACTGAGACGGACAGAGTTTTGTTCACTGGTGCGGGGACAGGAGGCCCCCCCCCCAGTTCAGCTGTAGAACGCACATGTTCCTCACACAGGATCCAAGGCTCAATCCCGAGCAGCTCCTGATAAAAGATCTTAAGAACATAAGAAGAACCCTGCTGGATCAGACCAAATGCTCATCCAGTCCAGCATTCTGTTCACACAGTGGCCAACCAGCTACCTTTAGGAAGCCCACAGACAGGAAGTCTGCAGCAGCAGCATCCTGCCTGTGCTCCCCAGGAACTGATTTGAAGAGGCAGGCTACCTCTGGTATGGAGACATCTCATAAGAACATAAGAGAACATAAGAGAAGCCAGTGGTGGATCAGGCCAGGGGCCCATCCAGTCCAACACTCTGTGTCACACAGTGGCCAGAAATACCAGGTGCCATCAGGAGGTCCAGCAGTGGGGCTAGGACACCAGAAGCCCTCCCACTGCTGACCCCCCCAAGCACCAAGAATACATAGCATCACTTGCCCCGGAGTCCCTATCTATACCTTGTGGCTAATAGCCACTGATGGACCTCTGCTCCATATGTGTATCTAATTCCCTCTTGAAGCCGTCCATGCTTGTAGCTGCCACCACCTCCTGTGGCAGTGAATTCCACGTGTTAATCACTCTTTGGGTGAAGAAGGACTTCCTTTTATCTGTTCTAACCCGACTGCTCAGCAATTTCATGGAGTGCCCACGAGTTCTTGTATTGTGAGAAAGGAGAAAAGTACTTCTTTCTCGACCTGCTCTATCCCATGCATAATCTTATAAACCTCAATCATGTCACCCCTCAGGTTTTGTTTCTCCAAGCTAAAGAGCCCCACGTGCTTTAACCTTTATAGGGAATGTGTTCCAACCTTTTTATCATTCTAGTTGGCCTCCTGTACATTTTCCAATGCTATAATATCCTTTTTGAGGTGTGGTGACCAGAGCTGTACACAGTACTCCAAATGAGGTCGCACCATCGATTTATACAGGGGCATTATGATACTGGCTGATTTGTTTTCCAATTCCCTTTCTTGGACATTAGGACTAGGAACAATCTTTGCCTGGGACCATAGAGTACAACCACCAGACAGGGTAGACAGTTTTGGCCTAGCGCTGACTCAGCAATATAAGGCAACTTCAGGAAGATTCACTTAGAGATCCTCTTTTTTGGCAGTGCAGAGGATGCTGACATGGTTTAATTAAAAAAAAAATTCTCCGGCCACCACTCAGAGCAGTGGTTGGCAATGGCAGCACAAGTAGCTTTCTTTCCAAGCTCCAATCCTCCCCCTTCCCCCGCTGCTCTATTAAGGGTCCCAACCTACAGTTATCTAGGTTCTAGGGGCCAAACTACACATTACACTTTCCACCAGTTTGCCTCAGGGTCTTGCAGCCATACTGCAGCTGTGGGTTCCCAGCGCCAACTCCATTTACAAGAGCCCCAGGAGCCCGATTTATATTGGGACCACAGTGTACGTAAGTGGAGTTGCCACCAGGAACTTATAGCTGAATATGGCTGCGAGTCCCTGAAGTAAACTTGTGGAAAGTGTAATGTGTAGTTTGGCCTGAAGTTTGTTACTGCATTACTCTTACTGGGGAAGTTCAGGGCTCAAGAAGAAGAAGAAGAAGAGGAGGAGAGTGGATTTATACCTTAACTACCTGAAGGAGTCTCAGAGCGGCTTACAATCTCCTTTCCCTCCCCCTCCCCACAACAGACACCCTGTGAGGTAGGTGGGGCTGAGAGAGCTCTTTCGAGAACTGCTCTTGAGAGAACAGCTCTGAAAGAACTTGTCACTGACCCAAGGTCACACTAGCAGCTGCATGTGGAGGAGTGAGGAATCAAACCCGGTTCTCCCAGATTAGAGTCCACGCTCCTAACCACTGCACCAAACTGGCTCTTACCTTTTAAAATGTGAATGTTTGGGGTCTAAGAGCAAAGGATGCCTCACATTATAATTTAGTACAAGGGAGATGATGGGGAGAGCTTTTGGATGCTTTGGCCTCTGCTGGGGGGGAAGGGTGCTGTTCTCATCTAGTCCCTTCTTCCCCCGGAACGGAAGACCACAAAGCTTCCTCATCCCTGGCCTTCCTCTTCCTTTGACTTTTATGGGTCGCTCTCAGGTCCCCACCCTTTCCCAGCTCCCTCGCCTTGATCACACAGAGGGGTTGCCAGATTTGTTTGGTTGGCATACCAAACTAGGAAAGAAATAAAGTACAGATAGGCCTAAATCTAATTTCTGATCTTAATATTGATTTTATCATGTCTGTATTTTAACACTTTTAGATTCTTATTTATAATTTTAGATGCCATAATATTTTATAATTTTATTGCTCCCTTATCTGTACTTATCTGTCTTCTATTATACTGGTCTATGACCGTAATAAAGGCTTGTTGTTGATCACACAGAGGACTTTTCTCAGAATCAGGAGAGCCTTTGTCGTAGGGTGTAGCCTTGCCCATGGCTCCAGTCCGTGACCCTGCCTTCTTTTTTCTTTCTCTCCCCTTACCCCCTTGGGTTATCGACCCCGTCTTTACATATGGTGGCCCTGTCAAGGTGGGATGGCTATGATGACCTCCCCCGGTCCTGTATGTTTTCTTACAGTGGGGCCAATAGAAATTGGGTGAGGGCCCTTGCACAGCGACCTCTGCCTAATCCAGAGCTGCCCCCCTGTAATGTACTGCCGCCATTACCACATGCAAGGTATTCAGCCTGACATGCCCGGACTTGCCCGGGCTGGCCAGGCACAATTTATCTGTAGCATCAGTCGAAAGACAAAGGATCCGAAGGATCCTAGCCGGCCCAATCAAAAGGGCTAGCTTCCCAGCCGGGAGACCAATGGTCGCCCGGTTACTGTAAATAGCCTATCGGGAGTAGGGGGTGTGTTTAGGTGTACTGGTGGCGGGTTTTCTGAACGCATATAAACCGGCCTCCGAGCTGGTTTCTTTGTCTTTGTTCTGATCTAATAAAGTACTCTCTGCTGAATCACTCAACGTCTCAAGTACTTTTCACCCCCCATAGCTGCTATTCAGTGAGTCAAAGAGCTCCCTTTATCAGAAGGTAGCTTCAGAGGGATGCCATGTTGAACCGCCTTAGAACACTTAAGATTCCAGAAGAGATTTGCTTTGTGGATTCCAGTCCGATAGCACCTTAAAGGTTTCCCTTGCTCGAAAGCCAGTCGAATCTGACTCTAGGGGGCGGTGCTCCTCTCCGAAGAGCCAGCGCTGTCCAAAGACTTTTCCCGTGGTCATGTGGCCGGCATGACTAAACGCCAAGGCGCATGGAATGCTGTTGCCTTCCCACCGGAGAAGTACCTATTTCTCTACTTGCAATTTCTTGCTTTCAAACTGCTAGGTTGGCAGGAGCTGGGGCCATAGACGGGAGCTCACTCCGTCACGCGGCACTCGGATCTCGAACTGCCGGGCCGACTTTCCAGTCTGCAGCTCAGCATGTTAACCTCTGAGCCACCGTGGCCCCGATAGCACCTTAGTGACCAACAAAATTTTCGGCCTATGAGCTTTTGAGAGTCAGGCCTCCTTTATCTTGATGCCTGGAAGTTTTGTTCACTGGGACAGAATGGAAACATTGATCTTTGTCTTCGCTGGGGGTGTAGATTTGTCAAATTTCAAGGGGGGGGATATCAAGATCCTGTTTCAGAATTTAAAAAGCATAGTGTGGTGAAGTTATATTTAATGCACCATTCCTGTGTTTTGAACAGAAGAGGGCAGTCTTGGGCTGGCAGTTGGCCTCTCTTGAGGCTGGCTTCCGGGGCTGCCTCCCGGTACGCCACAATAGCCCCAGTTTACTTAATCTGTTCTCGTAAATGTTATAATCCCCAAAGTAAAAGCAGCAACAACAACACAACCCCCCCCCCAAGACCATACGATTCATTTACATATGTTAACATTCCTGTTTTAAAGCCATTGCTAAGCTTTGCTTAATTAGCAGTCTTCCTCTGGTTAAGAACACATCATTAATATGTATACGTGGCAGTTCGGGTCTTTGAGTTTCCCTCATAATTAGCAACTGAAAGAAATAAGATTTTATGTCGACTGTGTTCTTTAACAATTAATTATGTTCAACTGGAGGGAAAAATAAGATGGTGCTTCTCAGAAAGGGAGTATTAAAACGCCAGATAGGAAAACCCAAATCAGATGGGGACTCCAAGCGGCATTTTGTGGTTTGCGTCGGTCAGCTGCTGTTGTGAGGGCTGGTTCCCCCACCCTCTTCAGGCTGTTTCCTTTGAGCTTCCATCCCCCCCCCCCTAAAAAAAAAGTCTCTCTGTCTTATACATATGAATATACTCTTACACTGAGCCAGATCAGTATTATTTCCTCTGTCTGGCGGTGGCCGTCAGTCTTGGGTGGGCAGAGACTATTTGAGATCTCCTAACTGGAGCTGCCTACTAGGGGCTGCGGTGGCTCAGGGGCTCAGACGCTGAGCTGCAGACAGGAAGGTCTGTAGTTCGGCAGTTTGAGACTCTAGTGCCGCATGATGGAGTGAGCACCCATCTCTGGCCTCAGCTCCTGCCAACCAAGCAGTTCGAAAGCAAGAAATTGCAAGTAGGTAAATAGGTACCGCTTCGGTGGGAAGGTAACAGCGTTCTGTGCACCTCGGCATTTAGTCATGCTGGCCACATGACCATGGAAATGTCTTTGGACAGCACTGGCTCTTTGGCTTGGAAACGGAGATGAGCACCACCCCCTAGAGTCGGATTCAGCTAGCTTTCAAGCAAGGGAAACCTTTAGCTTTACTTTTTAACTGGAGTTGCGAGGGATTGAAGAAGAAGAAGGAGGAGGAGGAGGAGGAAGAGGAAGAAGAGAAAGAAGAAGAAGAGGAAGAAGAAGAAGGAAGAAGAAGGAAGAAGAAGAGGAGGAGGAGGAGGAGGAGATTGGATTTATACCCCACCCTTCACTACCCAAAGGTGTCTCAGAGCAGCTTACAAACTCCTTTCCCTTCCCCTCCCCACAACAGACACCCTGTGAGGTAGGTGAGGCTGAGAGAGCTCTTGACAGAAACTGCTCTTTTTCAAGAACAGCTCTTATCAGAACTACAGCTTGCCCAAGGTCATCCAGCCAGGTGCAAGTGGAGGAGTGGGGAATCAAACCCGGTTCTCCCAGATTAGAGTCTGCGCACTTAACCACTACACCAAACTGGATTGAATTTGAGGTTCTTCAAGAAATGCATTTCTGCACTTTTTCCGATGCCAAAACATTCTTTTTGAGGTGTGGTGACCAGAACTGCACACAGTATTCCGAGTGAGGTCGCACCATCGATTTATACAGGGGCGCTATGATGCTGGTGATTTGTTTTCAGTTCCCTTCCTAATAATCCCCAGCATAGCGTTGGCCTTTTTCATTGCAGCCGCACACTGTCTCCACATTTTCAGTGAGTTATCTACTACGACTCCAAGATCTCTCTCTCAATCAGTCTCTGCCAGTCTCTGCCAGTTCAGATCCCATCAATGTGTATTTATATTTAGGATTTTTGGACCCAATGTGCATCACTGATTTTTATCGGGTTGGATCTGAGACTTCCACAGAGTTGTTTTGTGGGAGCAATTTTTAGTACCTTTCCTAGCCCCCCACCAAACCTGAAAAGCCACCACTGAAAAACAGATTCAAATCCAGTAGCATCTTAGAAGCCAAGAAGATTTTCAGCACATGAACTTTCGATAGTCAAAGCGCCCTTGGTCAGATACTGGCGGACAGGGATTATTGCACGTAGCGGGGGGGGGGGTTCATCCAGTTTCCCTTCTTGCTACAGCCCCTCCCCAAATTCTGCCTGGCATAATTCTGTGAAGGATCTCTTAACCCTCAGTTGTGGATTTCTTGTCGGGTGCAGGGAATGGCCAGAGGAAGGTGGTAAAAATCAATCCTACAAACACTCAATTTATGACAGTTTAGATCTAGCCTGTTGCATTCAAATGATTTAACAAGTAACTCTGGAAAATACTAGACTATGTGTCTGTTCTGGCTTTTTATGTTGCTTTGCATTATGATGCATGGACAGCTTCAAGGGGGAATTGGATAAACAGATTGAGCAGAGGTCCAGCAGTGGCTATTAGCCACAAGGTATAGATAGGAACTCTCGGTCTAGGGCAAGTGATGCTCTGTATTCTTGGTGCTTGGTGGGGGGGGGCAACAATGGGAGGGCTTCTAGTGTCCTGGCCCCACTGCTGGACCTCCTGATGGCACCTGGTAATTTTGGCCACTGTGTGACACAGAGTGTTGGACTGGATGGGCCTTTGGCCTGATCTAGCATTGGCTTCTCTTATGTTCTTATGCCCTCATCCCCCTTTCCATGTTACCCAATTGTTTCCCAATTAAAAGAGGTCTGGTGGTGGGTCTTTAAGTGACCTATCCAGACACTGACAGCTTGGAAGTGCAAGGATTGGTACTCACAAAAATGGGAAGCAGAAGAATACATGAACATATGAAACTCTCTTATACTGAATCTGACCCATGGTCTATCGAAGTCAGTGCAATCCTAGCTCGCCTCCTTGTGGGGCACCCTGGATCACACTGAAGAACTAGAACTTCTGGCTGCCAGACAATTGTAGGATCTCCTGGCTACACTGTGCACATGGAAACAAGCAATCAAACAGTCCTTCTCAGTTTGGTGTAGTGGTTAGGAACGTGGACTCTAATCTGGGAGAACCGGGTTTGATTCCCCACTCCTCCACATGCAGCTGCTGGTGTGACCTTGGGTCAGTGACAAGTTCTTTCAGAGCTGTTCTCTCAGGAGCAGTTCTCGAAAGAGCTCTCTCCGCCCCACCTACCTCACAGGGTGTCTGTTGTGGGGAAGGGAAGGGAAAGCCGCTCTGAGACTCGTTCGGGTAGTGAAGAGCGAGGTATAAATCCAATCTCCTCTTCTTCTTCTCTCAGGACCAATTGACAAGGGGTATAGGAGACTTTTTGCATCTTGTCTACTCAGGCTGGCAGCGACCCTCCAAGGTCTCAGGCCGAGGTCTTTCACATCACCTCCTGCCAGATCTTTTTAACTGGGGATGCCGGGGATTGAACCCGGGACCTTCGGCGTGCCAAACAGATGCCCTACCACTGAGCCACAGCTCAGGATTTGAGGCCACAGCTTCAAGAATTTGAAGATGGAAAGGAAGGCTAAGTAAGCAAATTCAGGAAGCCGCTCTTTCCCCACACTGTGTGTTACACTGGTGTTTAAATGATGCCATCTGCAATGCATTTAATCTTAAAAGGTTATTTAGAGAGGAAAGGTAATTGTGGCTATTTCAAAAAAATCAACATGCTTGCCATAGTTCTTTAAAATGCTGTACCCAATCCCTCGAGTTTCCTAATGACGACATATACTACCCTCCAATGCAAGAGGCTTATTTTAGTGGAAGGCTCCTGGTGATGGAGGAACACGTCACTGTTAGCTGAGCACAGTAATGGGGTACAACCCGCCATGTTTGTTTGATGACCCTTCCCGGTCAGGGTCCCCCCCCCCTTTTCTAAAATTCACCTTCTTAACATGAGGAATTTCTTTTGGATCGCCAGGCACACTACGAGCAACACGACGGCTTTGTGATCCTTCACGGCACAGACACAATGGCATACACAGCCTCAGCGTTGTCGTTCATGTGCGAGAATCTGGGCAAAACCATTGTCCTGACCGGCTCGCAGGTAAGTGGCGTCCTCGAGAAACTCCAAGAGGTGGGCTGTACTCTGCGAGTTAGGCTTAAGTTCGGAAACGGTCTTGTCTTATTCGACTTGAGCAGGTGTCGGTGAGGGGGAGGAAGTGAATTTTCAAAATAAACCAATCATCCCCTGCAACGGCCCTGTCTCTGATCGTATGAACGAATCCCATGGGCGCTAGATGATCTCTGAGCTAGATGGTCTCTGCCAAAACTTCCATTTGGCAAGATCAGTGGTTTTCTGTAGGCTCTTGTGCGCATGGACATTTAAGCAGAAGGGGAAGCGCATAGCATGGCAGAGAAAGTCTCGCGGGCACAGAATGCGTTTGTACGATCTCAGCCCTTGTGAGGGAGGCGTTTACCGTCTCCAGTTCAAGGAGGGGGACACAAGAGTGGGAGTTAGTGTTAGGCCCCAAGGAGAGCTCGTGTGACGATAGGGCCACCCTCCACAGAAGCCCAGCATTCACTAACTACACCTGCTAAAATTTCGAAACCATAAGTGGCACAGTAGGTTGACTATCGGACGGCAGTGCTTGTCAAGGGATATTTCTTACATGTTGAATTCCCCCTTCCCCCCCCAAAAAAAGAACATGAAGAAAAATTATGCAAAAGGGGAAAGATAATTTCATGAGGTGGGAGAGAATAATGTTTTATATTCAAAGGGAGGAAATCCTACCATCTGCCATAGTTTAGATGAAGAAATATGTCCACGTCCCAGTAAATCACACGATAAGAGAGTGTACCATAAATTATTCATGGCCTTCTATTTGCTTTGAGATGGGAGCCGTCTTTTTTCTCTTCTCTCATTGCTGATTTTTTTTTAAGCCATTGGCTGTAATTTCTGTCTTTCTCTCCAGGTGCCCATCTATGAGCTGAGGAACGACGGCCGATCCAACCTGCTGGGCTCCTTGCTGATCGCTGGACAGTTTGTAATCCCTGAGGTCAGGTCACCCACATTGTCCCCGCTTTCCCCCTCCTTCCTTGCTCTCTTTTTAAAAAATGCTTTTCCAAATGCTCAAATACTGTAGATTCCAGTGTGCTGAGTGATAATTGTGGAATTATCAACTTTGCCTGTTTGCCATAGATATTAAAGCGTTTGTTTACAATAAAAGATTGGCAACGGCTCTCCGGGATCTCAAGCTGAGGTCTTTGACATCACTTCCTACCTGATGGTGCTAACTGGAGATGCTGGGGGATTGAACTCGGGACCTTCTGCGTGCCCAGCAGGTGCTCTGTTACTGAGCTACAGCCCCTCCCTGTGTATTTGCTGTGTTTACCTCACAGGGGCTACGGTAAGCTCTTGTAGGATTGGCGACTTTAGGAGTGTGTTGCCTAATATGCAAAGGTGTTCCTGCTACAAAAAGAGCCCTGCAGTGTCTTATAAGGTTTGGGACCAATGGGCCTCCTACTCCCAAACTATCCTGCCATACATTGGAGATTCACTGTAGCCTGTCCTCTGCCACTCTTCTCCGTGTTAATCGTGGAGGGTTGTCATGACAGAGAGAGTCTAGATTCCCCTTGAGATTTTTCTACTATTATCAGGTGTTTTATGTTGAGGACTTACTTAGATTTCTCAGTGGGCTTTTTGTTGCTTATGGGAGACAAGGCTGCATGGTATATAGACCAATCTCAGACGCTGGGCAGAGTCAGTACTTGGATGGGAGGCCACCGAGGAAGACTCTGCGGAGGAAGGCAATGGCCCACCACCTCTGCTTCTCACCTGTCTTTTTAAAAATTGGTTCTTATTAAATTAAATGTCATGAACAATAAACGATCCATGCAATTAAGAATACAAAGAATCCAGCCAGAATTCCACAAGGACATCCAAAAAAAACCCCCAAACCAATAAACCCCCATATAAACAATAAGTGCTAAAATATTAACAAAAGGAGAAAACCTACAAAATCTCTATCCAACCTGGCTACAGATGTAAAAATTTCTTCTTCTTTTTTAATCCCCTGAAGACAGGGTAGCTTTATTAGTTTTTGTTACACCTACAAACCTACAGAAATTAGAAAGGGGGAGGGGAAAGAAAAATAAAAAACCCCAGGATACAAGACAGCAAATAAAAAAACCCACACTATGACTAAAAACCCAAGAAAGGAAGGTCTTTAACAGTTAGTATCCAGTTAGTCATAAAAGTTATAACTTTTCGTTTAAGTCAATGAATTCAAGAGTTAGTGAGTCCGTTTTAGTCATTATCTATCTTCTTCTTGTTGTACACAAAGTCTCTTTCATCTTCTTCTTTCTACAGATGTAAAAATTTCTGATAGAGACGGTTTAGGGGGGATTATACCTTGCTCCACCATGTCAGAGGTCATTTCGGGTGGGATCGCGGGAGAACGCAGTTCCCCTGGGTGAGGTGCGAGGGGGCGGGGCACACAACGTAGCCCCACCCCCTGCTTCCAGCCGCCTCGCTTCTGGCCCTCATTCAGCCAGGAGGAGGCAGGAGAAGAGGAAGGGTAAGTTGCTTCCTCCCCGCCTCTCCCCACCCCTGCCTGCCTGGGGCCAGGGACGGCCTTGGAGGGGCTTCCTCGCACTCCCGCCGGCCTTGCAGGTCCACTGCCGGGCCCCTGATGTCAGGGTGTGTGGCATATGCTAATGAGTTATGCTAATGAGTTCCCCTAGCTCTTTTTCTACGAAACGACCCCTGCACCATATATTGCAAAACCGGGTGCCAGGTCTCTGCAAATTTGGATTGATGGCTTATTCCCATTCTGACACAGTAAATTATCTATGATTTCCCCCATTATGACCTGATAAATTTTTTCATACCAGTTTGTTACCAAAGGGGGTGCAAGATCTCTCCATTTTGATGTGATCGTTAAAAGGACAGTGGCTAATACAAGAGCAATCAACTCCTTACTGGAGTTTCTAACAGACATGTCAGGCCAGTGATCTAGTAGTATTGACTCTGGTGCGAAAGGTAACTCAACACCTGTAATACCCTTGATCCAGCTTACAATTTCTAACCAAAATCTATTTATATAAATACAGTCCCACCAGCAGTGTCGGTAGGATCCTACTTGACCACATCTTTTCCAGCAGTTTGGGAAATTAGATGGGTAGATGTGAGAGAGTCTCTTGGGAGCCACTTTTCACCTGCCCTGAAGGCCCCTTGCTGTGGTCACTGTAAGTTGGTTGTGACTTGATGGCACTTAGGTACATTTTATTGCTTACCAGCCATCTAAAGCACATTATTGGAGAGGTGGGATACAGATGTTTGAAACAAACAAATGAAAATAATGTATCAAATTGTAGAGTTGAAAAGCCATCTAGTCTATCCCCCTGGTGAAAGGGGGTAAATAAAATCACATAGGCCCCGGTCACATGGCAAAATTGCCGCGGGAAAGGCACAGATGGTGGGCGGATTATCCGGGCACGATCACACCCCAACATCTGGGAAGTGGAGCGCACCCGTGGCTTACCACCGACAATGAGAGTTAAAAACGAGTATCTCCAAGGTACTAGTAAACGTTTGCCATGGGCTGCCTCCAGACGCCGGTGGTGTGATCGCGCCGGCACGCGGCATTCCCCTCGGTCCCCCGTTTACCCGCCGGCACCGAGGGGAGGACCGGTGGTGTGCCGCCGGCGCGTCTGATCGCATAATCGCGGATCAAACTGTGCCAGGGCAATTAGCCACGCCTCCCCCCGCGATATCCAGCCCATGTGACCGGGGCCATAATATGGTAAATATTACAGTGGCGCATTCTCATGCTTGGCACGTGATGTGTGACATGCCTTTAGGTGCAACCTATTCAACCTTCCTTCCTCTTTTAAACATCTTGGTCCCTTAGATCCGAACTTCAGAGGTTACTGGCAGTGCCTGAGAACTGCGAAACCTGCTTGCGCCAGGAAATGCCGCAAGCGGTTAACTTTATATTTAGTTTGTGTTGTCTTTACAACCAAAGTTATAAAGCAACAGACATGGCCCTTCTTCAAGGCACACAGGATATTAACCTCCCCAACATAGTATCTCATTATATTTTTAAGGAAAGAGACGAGTGTTTATTTTTTTTTTAATTAATCTGTTGGATCTTTTAATTACCGGGTTTGCACCCTGACAGGTTTCTTTTCTCGTCCCATAGGTGTGCCTGTACTTTTATAATAGACTGTACAGGGGAAACCGGGTGACTAAGGTGGATACAGAGAGTTTCAATGCCTTTTCGTCACCTAACCTGCCTCCACTTGCAGTTGCTGAGGTTGATATTGCAGGTAAGTGATGCTGTGATATTCCTCTGCAACAATATCATCTGTAACCCTTTCCTGAATGGTTGCAATATTGGACTAAGGTTCTGAACATCAGAAGAGCCCCGCTGGATCAGACCAGTGGTCCATCTAATCCAGTATCCTGTCTCACACAGTGACCAACCAGTTGCTCTGGAGGGCCAACAACAGGGCATTGAGGCCAAGGCCTTCCTAAGAACATAAGAAGAGAGGTGGAGGAGAAGAAGAAGAGATTGGATTTATACCCCACCCTTCACTCAGAGTCTCAGAGTGGCTTACAAACTCCTTTCCCTTCCCCTCCCCATAACAGACACCCTGTGAGGTAGGTGGGGCTGAGAGAGCTCTCTCGAGAACTGCTCTTTCAAGGACAGCTCTGACAGAACTATGGCTTGCCCAAGGTCATCCAGCAGCTGCAAGTGGAGGAGTGGGGAATCAAACCTGGTTCTCCCAGATTAGGGTCTGCACATTTAACCACTACACCAAACTGACTCCCTCCAGAGCCCTGTGGATCAGACCAGTGGTCCGTCTAGTCCAAAGTCTCACACAATGGCCAACCAGTTCCTCTGGAGGGCGAACAACAGGACATAGAGGCCAAGGCCTTTATTAGAACAAAAGAAGAGACCTGCTGGATCAGGCCAGTGGTCCATCTAGTTCAGCATCCTGTGTCACACAGTGGTCAACCAGTTACTCTGGAGGGCCAACAACAGGGCATAGAGGCCAAGGCCTTCCTAAGAACATCAGAAGAGCCCTGCTGGATCAAACCTGTGGTTCATCTAGTCTAGCATCTTGTCTTACACAATGGCCAACCCGCTCCTTTGGAGGGCCAACAATGGCATAGAAGCCTGGTGTTGTCTCCTGCCTCTGGGTTTCAGAGGTTTAGTGCCCCTGAATGTGGAGGTTCCCTTCAGTCAACCATGGGCTAATTGCCACTGATAGACCTATCCTTAGTGTCTGTCTTCAGTGAGTGTGTGTTGGTGTGTGTGTGTTTTGTAAGCTAGTTTATGGATCCTAGTCAAGTTCGCTGTGTCTTTTGATAACTACCTAGGTGAAAAATTGGCACGCGGTTTCCCCGTTGCCAGTACCTGTGTGGCTGCCCCATAGCTACTCCGAAGCATGGGGTGTGGTATGGAACCGAATGCATGCACTCCTGTGAGTCCGTCTTGCATCACTGCAGGCTTCATGTGCAATCAGCTGGCCTTCCCTGGATGCAACATTGTTGCAGTTGGATTTCACAGAATTTTTGTTGTTGTTCAGTCGCGCAGTCGAGTCCGACTCTTCGCGACCCCATGGATCATCTCCCGCCAGTCCCTCCTGTCTTCCCTCGTCCTCTGAAGTTTGCTCAATTTCATGTTCGTTCTGTCGATGACACTGTCCAACCATCTCATCCTTTGCCACCCCCGTCTTCTTTGACCTTCAATCTTTCCCAGCATCAGGGTCTTCTCCAGTGAGTGCTCCCTTCTCATTGGGTGGCCAAAGTATTTGAGCTTCAGCTTCATTATCTGGCCTTCCAGGGAACAGTCAGGGTTGATTTCTTTGAGGATTGACAGAATTTTTAGCTTTTACTTGAAGAAGCTATCTGGGTTCAAGTCCAATAGCACCCTGGAGACCCACAAGATTTCCGGGCTATGAGCTTTTGAGAGTCAAAGCTCCCCCTTTGTCAGAAGATAGTTTCAGGAGGTAGCCATGGGTGTGCTCAGAGGAGCTGTTTGATCTGATGTTGTTGCTGTTACCCTGCGGATTGAAAAGGCATGTTCAAACAGCATCGTCCGTATCCCGTTGCCCAGTCGTCCCCCCCCTCCCCGTTCTTACCCCCGTCGGATTACGAGTTTTGTGACACCAGGAAAAGCCTGAGGTTTATGGATGTAAGCAGGGGTCATTTCGTAGAAAAAGAGGTGTAGGAGCTCATTAGCGTAACTCATTAGCATAACTTATTTGCATATGCCACACCCCCTGACACCACCGGAAGTGTGTCAGAAGGCAACACCCACCACTCAGGCTCCACTGGACTGTTTTGGATTCCTAGCTATCGGGGGGGGGCATGCAGATCTGTCCTCGCAGAGGAGGGAGAGCTTGTACCTGAATAAAACTTGGTCTTAAAGGTGCCACTGGACTGTTTTGGGCCGGGGGCCGGGGGGCTCTGCAGCTTACCTGGCTGCTTCTTGCTCTGACTGAGGGCTGCTGGGAGCAGGGGGTGGGGCTTGTTACATGTGCCCGCCCCCTGGGCGCTTTACTGCCGGAGCTCTGCTCCTGTGCGCTCCTGCAGGAAATGACCCCTGGATATAAGTGTTTTCACCCCACATTTCCGGATATCTGAACTCTCTGTTGCGAACTTAAGCCATTTGGGAAGTCTGAAACTTCCATTCTGTTTTTGCTCTTTTAAAAAAAATCAGCAGTGTGTGCATCATTGGATCTTTGTGCCAGGGCTGTGAAACACTGCTTGTTTGTTTCTGTGCCGCAAAATTTTGTTGTGATCGGGAGCGGCAAATTCAAAGCAACCCCCCCCCTTTCTCTTGTTCCTTGGGGTGGGACAGCGGTGGAAATAGTCCCTAGTTAGGCTCCTGTATTGGCAGCCATGATTCCGCACCCAGGACTTTACTCCAAGCCACATCACAGTATTCCTTTTTGAGACTGACCAGTCTGACGGACAAGATTCAGAGACGCGTGGGAAAGAAGTAAGATCAGGCAGGAAAGGGAGTGATTTCTGGCGGAGAACTACCGTTGTGGAGGAACCAATGAGATTGCAGTACTTGGTGGAGGGATCGCTGAGCTGTCAAAAAGGAGTGGTGCTTTGAAGACGCGCTTCTGAGCACGTGTGAAAAACAAATCAGAGATAGAGGATGCTGCCAACCGACCGCTCCGTGGTTACCGTGCAGCAATAATCTGAGCGGTCAACCACGGGGAGGGGGGGGCAGTGTGTAGGGCAGCGGGTTTAAGGGTAGTAGGTGTTTGAACAAAACTCCCAGACACAAAAAATATGGATAAGATTAGCAGTGCGGCCAAAACTTGCTGAGCCTGTCATCTGACTGCAGCCCATGTTGGTCTGCAGTAGAACAAATAGATTCTGGTCCACAAGCACCTTAGAGACCAGACAGATTTTGTAGGTACGAGCTTCTGAGAGTCAGAGCTCTGGCACTTTGAGTCTCAAAAGTTCATACCCTGAAAATCTCGTTGGTCTCTAAGTCTTCGCCTGCCGACCAGCATGGGCTACTCTCCAAAACTATCTCCAAAAGGTTAGCATCCTGCAAGCTTTCGGCAGTGGGGTCTGGTTTTTAAAAGGGGGCGCTTCTTCTTTGGTGTACTTAGTTACCTGTCACAGAATCACAGACTGAACAATGCTTGTTAAAGCTAGAAGGTAATACTGGAGTGGAACAGAGCAAGGTCCTGCTTGGTCTGTCAGTATCTGACTAAATTGAGGAAGAAGGAGAAGAAGGAGGAGAAGAAGAAGAAAAGAAGAAGAAGAGGAGGAGATTGGATTTATACCCCACCCTTCACTACCCAAAGGAGTTGCAGAGCGGCTTCTGATCCCCTTTCCCTTCCCCTCCCCACAACAGACACCCTGTGAGGCAGGTGGGCTGAGAGAGCTCTCGTGAGATCTGCCCTTGAGAGAACAGCTCTGAAAGCCCTCATACACTCTCAAGCCTGACATGGTGGTTGTGAGGTCAAAATGCACAGGCGGGAACGTTGCAAGCCAGTCTGAGGGTGATTCTGCATCTAGCATTCGCTCCACATTTTCTCAACCGGGAGAAAAAGTGCAGCTCAAAACCACATTCAAATACCCCGGGGCAACACTGAACTGACTGCAAAGTCAGCCCTAAACGGCCGTAAATCTATGCAGGAGGCACCATAACACCCGATGACTGAAGAAAGCAAAAGCAGCACGCGCTGTGGAGGCCACTGTAAAATCCGATAATCAAAGGATGTGAAAGCGGCATGCACTGCAGAGGGGAATTTCTGTTCCAACGTGGGTTTGGTATGACAGCGGAGGGACAAGCCAATGCAGAATCACCCTGAGTCCCTGCTGGGGACTCCGATCCACTACACTGCACTCATTTCTCCTTCAGGGACTTCCAACCACGGGCAGTTCAAGACTCTCCACCTCTTGGCCGCCTCCCCGCATTCAGAGCGAAAGTCAGCGCCAGCTGATGTCATTGGGGCTGCTTTGCCTCTTGCCTGGCAGGGTCAGGGGCGGGAAGCGAGCGCGTCGCTGTTTGTCTGGAGCACGGCTCCTGTGGAGAAGTTGCCTTTCTGGTTTGATTTCATAACCTGGGATTCGGTCACCCCTCCTTAGGGAGGCGTCGCTTCTCGGAGCCGCTGCACTCCTGTAAACGAATGAGTCCAAACCTGCACTGCAAGCGTGGCTCCGGCCGGTTGCCCAACCAAAAACCCTGCTGCTTTGTAGAACGCGCTTGGCTCAGTGGAGTCGCTCCTCCCTTCGGAGAGGGTGTCCTTTGCACAGGGGCTCCGCTTGCTCTGCAGGGGTTTCCTTAAGGGGCAGGGGGGGGTCTGCGTGTACCAACTGGGATCTGGAGCCCGTGACCTCAACAGAACCACTTTCCCTTTCCTGCTCACAGTGTTATCCACTGCGAGGAAATTGACGCAACTCCGTATGGTGAGAGGTTTGGACTCATTCATTTATACGAGCTGCGTCGATTTCCTCGCAGTGGATCACGGGTGTTATCTACTCCCACTCTGATTCCTGTGGCACGACGGACTTTTGAGCGACACAAGGAAAAGGTTCCTGGATCCAGAGGAAGGCATCACCATTAGCAAAAGTGCTAGGGTGCGACTCTGTGTATTTTTTAGAACAAGGTTTTCTATGGATTCTGAGGCCTCCCCATAAATATCTCTCCTTTTTCAAATCCTCAGCTCTGAAGCATTAATCTTATCCACCTGGAGGAGGGCGTGGGTGGGAGGCAAGGCAGAATGGTGTCTCCCGATCTAGGAAGCTAAGCAGCGTCAGTGCTTGGAATGGGGGACCACCAAGGAAA